AACCTGTTATTTTTCAACCCATCTGGATGTAATAAAAAACGATCAGAGAAAAACCTGGCTTCCTAGAGAAATCATCATCTCTTTCACTAACTTGCATCGAACTTCAACCAAGTCACTTAACCTGCCTAGATTGCCTCATCTGAAACATGATTGCTTAAGTCTCTTCCAGCTCTAGAATATGGTCTATAATATAGATACAAATAGATGAGAAAATTAGTGTGATCATTGCTTATTGCTTATGTCCTGATTTGTAGTAATTTAAATACCCTGGGCTCTGCTCTCCACATGCTCTGGCCGAGCCTCACCCATGAGTGAATCTCCGGAAAAACTCAGGTATGCGGAACTTTGTGACTGAAAACACTGGGTTCAACGGGATGGGTAACAGAGATCTTCTGCCCATATGCCCCTTCTCCAGTGACCCAGCAGTCATGCCCATAAGCTGCCTTGGGCTGGCACCAGATAATTTCGTCACCAGCCACCATCCAGATTGCATGTCCCTCTCTCCCAGAAGGGAGAATAACATGATGCTTGCCATAACCATGCCACTGGACACCATGCCAGGCTGTTTGAGTCGGGGTGCCTTGGAAGGGGGTGGGTGAGACCCCCTCCCTGCCCCACAGGACCCATCCTCGGCAGCCGAAAATCTCCAGAACCCAGCTGCCACCACCCCCATGGTCACTCTCCACACACTTGGGCCAAGCCCCACCCATGAGTGAATCCATGTGGCTGTATTTGCAGCCACACGATACTGTAAACCACACACCCTACCCGTACTCCAAGATTACCTTTCTACATTTGATATAGTTCAAAGTAGGTGGCAACCAACCTCCACACTCTTTCCTAAGAATATTTTTTGTAGCTTTTTTCAGCGATTTTTCATAACAAAACATTATTTCAGTTCTGCTTTGGGGCAGTGATTGGAGTTTGGGCTGGAAACCTCTGAAATATGGTGGTGGGAAGGTGTAATGGTGGTAGAGTTGGTGTTGGAATATTAAATGTAATGAAATATATTGTGAACTACTCATAAAATTCATCAATTAAAAAAATACATTGGGACTTGGGTGACATGTAACTTTCAGAATTTATTTAGTCACTGGTAGTATATTAGCCACACAATCAAATGTTATGGTGCCATTTTAGATAGGTTGAGGTATTTTTATATTAAGAAATGTACTATTAATTCTGGCCATTAAAATTTCAGTCTCCTGCCCCTGCGCCTGGCTGTTCCTCGCTGGGGTCCCTTGGAGGGGAGCGGGTTGAGCTTTCCTCCCCACCCCGACCAGGGCTCCGGCAGCCGAAGACCTCCAGGACCAGCCACCACCATGCTGAGACCACTCTCCGCACACATGAAGGTACTGGCAGAGGGACAAAGCCACGCGGGTTCCGGGGCCGAGATCTCCAAGCCTACTCGAATTGGAGTCGAGCATCCTCCACCCAGATCCTCCAAATTCCAGTAGGCGGGGGTCACACCCACCACCTGGCACCCTGGCGCCGTGTAATCCCATCAGCGGCCAAGACTCAGAGACTACAAAATGCAGCTCCCGGAACCGCGCGGCCGCATTTGCGGCCGCGCGACATCTTATCCAAACATTTTTTTTATCATATCTCATTATCTCATTCCTACTCTGGACAAACTTGCAGGCTATCGAATATAGCCTGCCCACAGGGCAGAGTCTGGCAAACTCCCCGTGGCATACCAAATATGCCAAATACCAGTAACAATGATGGGTCTCATTCTCCTAAAAAGCCTTGAATATAATCTCAGGGCTAGGATGAAAGAGACGTTACTGGGGCCTGCTCGAGGCAATCGACGATTAAAATTTTAAAATTTCAAGTGACCTCATCACACTTGTATCAAGATCTAGACACTCATTTTTAAGTTTCTGTTATAGATAGATGTATTCGTGATGTATTTGATATGCCAAACACAGTAACAACAAGTCTCATGATGGAGATTTTACTGGGCCCACTCGAGAAAATCGATGAACAATGTGAGGACCGTGACGATGTTATAGACATTTCACAGGGCTGGGGATAACTGTTACCATTAATATGACATGGAAGTCATATCTTCAAAGCACAATAGATGTTTTGTGTTTGTTTCTGGGCCATACCTGGTGGTGCTTAGAGTTTACTCCTGGCTTTCTGCTCAGGCATCACTCATGATGGTGCTCAGTGGACCATATGAAGAACTAGAGATCAGACCTGAGTTGGCCTCATGCAAACACCCCAAACACTATATCATCTCTCTTTTGCCCCAAAACAATTGTTTAACAAACAATTTGGGAAATGCCTAATTGCTCAGGCAGTTTTCCATGTCATTCTGAATTCCATTCTTGGAAAGATGCAACAAATGTTTCTCAAAATTTATTTTGGTGTGGCTATTAGTTCTTTTCATACCAATTACCACATAAAGTATTGTCAGCAATGGGGTCATATTGGTACACATATCTAAAAAAAGAGCCTAAGAAATAGGAAAATCCCACAGTGAGGCTAGCTAGTATAGTGTAAAGAATTTTCATACATGTACCTTAATGAATCTGGCAGAAAATATCTTCATTGCAATATGACTGTTAAAAATATACATTTTAAAATTTTTGTTAGGGGGCCATGCCCAGGAAAACTCATGGCTTACTCCTGGATCTGTACTAAGGGATCATTCCTGGAGGTGCTCAGAGGGCTTTATGAAGTGCTGAACATTGAATCTGGGTTGGCCACATGCAAGGCAAAGCCCTATCCACTGTACTATCTCTCCAGCCTGTCCACGGTACTATCTCTCTTTTACATATATGTATGTTATATATAATTATATATAATATATATTGGTATTTATGTATATGAGATCACTTCTCATGGTGCTCAGGGTCTGTGCAGTGATTGAACCCAGGCCTCCTGCATACAAAGCATGTGCTCTTGACCACTGAGCTATCTCTAGCCCACAGTGTCATAGTTTTGTTTCCACTTCTGATTTTTTTGCATCATGTTAGGTGGTATTCAGCACTTTCTCCTGGCTCTGTGCTCGAGGATCACTCGTAGTGTGACTCAAGGGAACATATGCAGTCCTGGTGTTCGAAACTAGGCCAACTGTATGCAAGAGAAGCACGTAACCTGCTTTCTATCGCTCCTGTCCCCACTTATAAATTAACTTTTGAGGAGTGAATAACAAAATGTCTCCTAACTTGAGAAATTTTGATTATAAGTCTGGAAGAGTAAGTTCTATTTAGAACACTTAGAAAACTTCCATTTTATTTATTTTTTCTTTTGGTTTTTGGGCCACACCTGGTGGTTCTCAAACCTTGCTCATGGTTAAGTGCTCATATCACTCCTAATGGGGTTCAGGAAACCATATGTGGTGCTGGGGACTGAACCCTAGCCAGCTGTGTGCCTTACCCATTGTCTTCTTTTTCCAGCTCGAATTCTAGTTTGCTAATGAATTAGGATCAAGAGATGTTTTCTGAAGGGGAGGAAAGAAGTCTAGATGAAATAAGAAGCAGAAAACTGTGTTACTGTGGAGCAGTGGATACATAATAATATGCTTTGACAGTTTGAATATTTATATAATAATTCTGAAAGGATTCCAGTTCTTGGGTTTAAGTCCGCTAACCCTAAATTGAATCAGTGAAATGAAGAGTCACTTTGGTATGAGATCCATGTGACTTTCTGGGAATATTAATAATAGTGATAGAGAAAAGTCCTCTCTTCCTTTTTGGAGGTAGTGAGAACAAAAAGATGTCCTCTTTGGCCCAATGGCAAGATGAGAAAGAGGGTGGCTTATTAAAGTGCCTGACTCTGCTCCTTGCTCTCATATTTCCCACCACACAACAGTGCCCAAAGTGCACTGATGGAAGGAAGCCTTCTCCCCAGAATTGTTGGGGTTTTTTTGGGGGGGTGCAGTTGGGAGGGTGGTTAGGGGCACCCAGTGATCCTCAGAGCTTACCTCTGGCTCTGCACTGAGGGATCACTTCTGGCAGGGCTTGCGTAAAGGGCAAGGGCCCTATCTGTTGTACTATTGCTCCAGTCCCCAAATCATTACTTTTTTTCTCCCTGAACATCTCTGTCATCTCCCAGGACTTTAAAGATAGGAGTAAGTAGTCAGGAGAGACTGCAAAACCCTGCAAGTCACAGGCAGCTACTATGACTGTGTTTTCTCTCTTCTTATCCAGGCTATTTCATTCCAACTTGGAGTTTGACTTAGAGAACCTGAACCTATCATATATGATGTCGTGCAAAAATATACATTCCTCTCCCCTGTTTGCTCTCCCTGCAGGGTTTCAAGGCAAAGGTAAGCATGCTCTTTGTTTTATGGACCTGATCTATTTTATTCAAACTTTTAAAATATAAGATTGCATTTATGGCAGACATAGCTCAGGGTGTGGCCAAACAGATCCCTTTTCCCAAATTCAGAAGATACCACAAGACAAATGCATATTGTAAGCTCTACATTGTATGTCTATAAGCTACAAAATAAGAAGTCCTGTCACTTAGCAACTGCTTAATTCACTTTTGACTATTTAATATACTACTTACTAGTGTACCTATTCTCTCTCTCATATTAATATAGAAAATGTGTGACTATGATTATGGGGAAGTGAATTCGCCCTCGGAAATGACTAGCTTTCTAAATTTATAGTTGTATTAAAAATAAATTATTTGGGAGATAATGATCTTTCTGTTACTGGGAATTTTAAGAAATCTGGATGACCCCAAACAAACTCAAGCATGACCTGAGTAAGGCTAACTGATTCAAACTTCTTGATAACATTGAATGCCTGAAATTTAATCATGTCTTACTTTGTAACTCTGTGATTCATGGTGATTCAATAAATATTATCGAATGCTTGATAATGCTGAGATTCCATAGTTATAGATTCAGTGAGCTTGTTTCGCTAGGAGGAAATCTGGTGTTTGTGTATTAGAAGACTCAGGCAGTACTTGAATTATCCTAGATCCTAAAATACCATATTTCATCATGTGTTATGGAGACAAAAGAAAGTAAAGAAGTTAGTTAAATAGTTTAATCAGAGCAATTTTACAATTCTAAAATTAACAAGCAGATTTGTAATAAAAGAGCTCCAATGTTTGCAAAATGACCTTGCTTCCATTCTGAATCTGACATTTTTATTTGTAGATATCAGCATTACATTTAAAAGGACTCAAAATGGAGTGATTGATAACATCCGTGGTTTTTGATGCAACTGATGAAATCCCTGAATGGATATTGCTTCAGCTTTGATATTAAAAAATGGCCTGACAAGAAGTCCTTAGTCAATGACTGATCACAGGTGGCCAAACAAAAGAGAGAAACCCAAAACTACTGTCAAGATCATATGGATCACACTGTTGGTGGATGACACTGGCTCCAAATATACAATTAAGCCCACGACACTTTATTACTATGAAGATAATTATCATGAAAGTTCTCTCACATTGATCAACTTGCTTCTGAAGGTTTTCTTTGTTCGTTTAAACTTGCATAATAAACATGCAATGAATTATTTCTGTTGAAAGTGTATTTTTTGAAGTCTTTTTTTGTTTTGTTTTCATACAAAGATTTCATAAAGTTGCAGTGTTGCATCAGAGCATTATCCAAATAAGAGCAGGAGCACATGGGGAGGGTAAATGTGAATTTAGCGGAATGAGAAAAGTCTCCTCTTAATCTGAGACAGGCCACCTGTCATGTTATAAAAGGTGTACACAAACATCTTTTCTTACCCTCCCCCACCAAGAGAAGAGTAAAGGAAAAAAACTCACCAAATCAATCTAGCTAAGGAAAAAAAAAGGCAGACATAAAGAAAATAAAGATGCTTTTTTTCATGCACATATCTTCTGCATAGCTCAACCCAACATATAGTAAGGCACTATTTCCCTTCGTAACTGGTGTCCACTGCAATCTGTTAAGTGCTACAGTGCTCTGTGACCATTAATCAGAGAGTTCCTTTCAGGATGGTGAAATAAAGAGGCCGGATGAGTGTGGCTGCCACGCTTCTCAGTGAATGTCCTGGAGCTCAATGAAACTTTCAGAATTCTTAGAAGGAAAGGTCTGCTTTATGCGAGGATCTAGAATGGCTTCCTTTGTAGAATTCCTATTGTGTCTGTGTAGGAAGGTAGATTATTCTTCAGTCTTCATTCTCAAAGGAAAATACACAAGGGGTGGAAGCAGAAGCAGTTGGCAGTCTGGTCTTTAGATAAGGAGTTTCGATGCTCCCAGAAAGCATAGAACTCAGTTCACAAAATCTGCAGGATATTTCCATGGAAGTGGAGAAAGAGAGAGAGAGGAAGAGAGAGAGAGGGAGGGAGGGGGAGAGAGATAGATAAATAGATAGATAGAGAGAGATAGATAGATAGAGAGAGAGACACGGAGAGACTGATTTTAGTTGTCATAGGTGATCTGAGTTTGAGTCTAATTTAGCTGGTCTTCGTACTGCTTCCTGAAGCAATCCCCTGCTGGGAAAAATTCCCAACACCGTTCTTGATACATTTTCCAGACATAAGATTCCTGAAAAAGTCAAAGAAATCTATTAACATGATGTGTTTCCTCTGAAACTATGCTACCAGCAAATGTAAATGAGAAACTCATATTTTTTAAATGACCCCTGAATGTGAAAATGGGAAAAACAAATTCATTTAGCTACCAGACTTGATGATTTCTCATGATAAAAACTTCAACCTGATCATAATATAACAAAGATGCCAACCCTATTTGTTGTCTATATTTTAGTTATTATAATTTGGTATCTGTATATGCTACATTAAGAACCTCACCCAAAGTATAGTTTCCATGCAATATTATACAATGGACCCTTTCACACTTTTTATCCAGCATTTTCTTTAACTGATTGTGGCTTGAAATTCATTTGAAATCTCTGATATCTGATTAAGAAACATGTTATAATTATCAAAATCCAAGCTCAGAAGAACTATTTTACGTGCAATCACAATTTCAATTTTATATAAAAAAATTCACTTTGCTTTGCACTTATCCAGGAAACAAAGTATCTATTAAGATACTGTGCCTAACAGCTAAAAAGTAATTCTATTCTTTAATGTTTAATATTTACACTTTGTTCCAAAAGATGCCACAAAGTAATTGTTTACCTACCTGTCCTGTGTGTTCTGTTTCATCTTTATTTATAAGGTACATCAGAAAAAACCTATGGATACATAAACAATTGTATGAAAATGTCAGCATTAATAGATACTTCTGTTTCTGCACTAGACTAAAAAACACAATGTCAGTAAAGAAATTAATCAGAATAGTGAGGAAAAATATACCATGGGGAAAGAGACCTTAGTTTCTTTTAAAATATTTTTTTCAAAGGAATACAAATGTGTGCACATATCAAGCTATAGCTCCGTGGAGCTGGTCTATGCCAGATTGTGCCAGATTTCACCTTCAACTGTGTCCACACTTATTCACTGATAGGCAGGAATTGCAATTTCTCATTTGAAAACCAAGAATTAAAAAGATTCAATAACTTACCTCATTTCTATGAAGTCTACAACCCACAATTATAAATATGTATAATTATTATTATTATTATTAATTTTTATTTTTTGCTTTTTGGGTCACACCTGGCGATGCACAATGCACAGGGGTTACTCCTGCTCATGCACTCAGGAATTACTCCTGGCTGTACTCAGGGGATTACAGGGGACGCTGGAAATTGAACTCAGGTCAGCCACGTGCAAGGCAAACGCCCTACCCTCTGTGCTATCACTCCAGCCCCTATGATGTTATTTTTCATCTCTTCTATTTATAATAAAATGAGGTCTGGAAAAAGGAAATATTTTACCAACTGCAGTTTTGGCTAACCCCAAGTAACCCAAATAATAGTCATATTTCTAGGTGTGTTTTAGGAGTGTGGTCTTTGTGTGTGTGGGGGGGGGAGGGGGTGGTGACGATGAGGGAGGACTTATTCCTGGCTCTGAGCTCAGGGATCACTCCTGGTAACCCTGGGGAACCAAATGGAATGCTGGTGATCTAACCCTGGTCAGCCACATGCGAAACAAGTGCCTTGCCCGTTGTACTAACTTTCTGGTCTTAGAAGCATGGTCTTTAGCAGTGTTTCAAATAGAGCCCCAAGACATTAGTGCATCCTCAGAAAAGAAACTGAAGATTCACAAATCTCTAGGAAACAGCTGAAGTTTTCCAATTGGAAACCGAATTCCTGTCACAGCCAAGGCTCTCTGAGAGGTTTACCATGTACTGTGCTTGCCATGTCTCCAACTCGTGTTCCAAAAGGTATCAAACAAGTGATGTGCTGTGACTTCTATTCTTAAATCAACATACACCTCAGATAAACAGAACTGACTTGCTGTGATCTTTCTCTAGACAAGCTGTATGAAGCCTCAGTTCAGGTTTCAATACAAAGAAATTGATCTCTTTACTATTTCTCAGGGCTGGAGCACAGCTGGTAGGGCATTTGCCTGGCATGCAGCCGACCGGGTCGACTCATGTTTGATTCCTCCACCCCTTTCCGAGAGCCTGGCAAGCTACCGAGAGTATCTCGCCCGCACAGCAAAGCCTGACAAGCTACCCATGACGTATTTCATACACCAAACACAGTAACAACAAGTCCTGCAATGGAGACATTACTGGGCCCACTTGAGCAAATCAATGAACAACAGGAGGGCAGTGCAGTGCAGTGCTACTTTTTCTCAAACCTGCAGAAATCAAGGGACGGTAGGGCATTGGTTCAGAGGGGGAGTCAGCAACAAGCAAACTCACAGGTAATTGGCCAAGTTGTGCTCCTGTAAAGTGTGGGTTTCAAAGCCATGAGGTACTGTGTCAAAGTAATCATTGCCTATCCCACAGATGAAGCACTTGGTCTAGAAAAGAAATACAAGGCAAAATATTGAAATGTTAGAGTTCAGGAGAACAAAACAAAAGGAAAGCACAACTCATTAGGAGTCACATTTTGTTTATACAAATAAATAAAATCATCACAAGAGGCTGTACCGAGCACAGGAACATAGGTTGAACCATTATCCCAACTTTATTTTGCTGTCTGTTTACATGGTACAGGTATCAGGAACACAGGCAGAAGGAAAAATGCAGGCTCATGATTGAAAAGCAGCATCTTTGTCTTTTTTTTTCCTAGTCTGAGATTGTTTAGCCTTAAGAATCATTCTTATTCAAGCTAAAGTAAGGGAGGCTGAATAAAATTTGGTCTCCAGTGAAACCCAAATTTGATCCCTACCTGAAAAATGTATGATGACCTGGGGGAGGGCATGCGGATAATTTTCTTTGAGGAGGACCATGTGCCTCCTCAAATGCCATGTGCATGTTCTCAATCACTGATTTAGAGGGGTCTGACATATTCCAGGCTCTGTACTAGGCACAGAATAAGCCAAAAGATAAGTTTTGGGATTCTGTCTGCTCTAGGAGTGAGATAACTGAAATTCCAATATCTGTTGGAATTTAATATAATCTGCACAATAGAGTATCATCCACTTAGGTCTACCATCTGCAGGCCTGGTACACAAAACCCAAGAAGAAACACAACACTTTCTTTTTTTCTTTTGCGTTTTTTGTGTGTGTGTGTGTGTGTGTCATATCCAGCAACGCTCAGGGGTTACTCCTGGTTCTGCACTCAGGAATTACTTCTGGTGGCGCTTGGGGGATCATATGGGATGCCAGAAAATTGAACCTGGGTTAGCTGCTCGCAAGGCAAATGCACTACCCACTGCACTATTGCTCCGGTCCTGCACCTTCCCTTTATTGTTAGAACTTTTAATATATCAACTCCGGTGAGTGTAATTATTGAATCTATGTGACTCTAGATGGTATACTGCCTGCTAATCAGAAGCTTTTAATATCATTGAGACAGGTTTATGATGCCCTAGATTCTAGAGCCTTGAGCAAGATGATCATGACTATGAACTTCTCTCTATCCCATTGATCAAGTGCTGACAGCAGATAGCACACATTCAGCATTCAGTTATTTACACCACTCACTCTTTTAATGAAACCGACTCATGCTTAATAGCCTTACGCAAGAAACTGCTCTTCCTTTATCTCTGAGCTTCTTTAAACATGGCTATGACTCCATATAGGGTAACATCACTGAATGTATGGGTCATGGAAAATTGTAAAGATTTGTTATGAAGTAAATCTCTTTATGATATATTATCAGTCAATGTTTTCTTTGCATACCAATTTTAGGTCCACATTCCTATATACCTGAGATCTCATAAAACTTTCTCAGTTACTGAAATGGGCTCTTGAGTGGAAAGCTCTAGAAATCCTCTCTGGGATGAGGCAGCAGCAAAAGAATATGCCTTGAATGCATGAGCCTTGGGTTCAATCTTTGGCATCATTTACACGCATACACACTGCAATACATATACATAAAACACACAAAGAAATCCTACTCTAAGCTATCTCTCTCAGTAAAACCAAGTGTATAATAGAGCCAGCATGCTGCTAATGGATCATTCCAGAAATATAGGTATCATCTCTACTTGCTTCAATCTATTTATACTGTTTCCTAACCACCAAGTTCTTATTCTGACTCCAACACACTGCTTGAATCTATCCAGTTCCTGAAGTCTTGGGATAATGAACAAACCTGTTACAATTTCCTGCCCAGATGAAGATGGCAACCATTTTTTCCTGCCCATAGTCTTTCTAGTGTCTAGATCACTAACCACAGTAAATAGTAGTGTGGATATGTATAGAGAGGAGTTGGGTTGAGTTGGGGCAAGGAAAGGAGTTGCCTAAATGGACTTGTTCTTTTTCTCTTAAACACATATATCTGCAATCTTCAGTCCTCAATTTTATCACTATTTATTTATTTATTTTCAAACATATCTATCTGTGCTCAGGACTCCTTTCTGGCTCTGCATTCAGAAGTCACTTCTAGCAGTCTCAGGGACTACATGGAGTATTGGGGACTAAACCTAGGTAGGCTGTGTGCAAGCAGGCACCCTACCCACTATACTATCGCTCCAGACCCCCTTTTCTTTTTAAAAACATGATTAATTATTCAAGAGCAAATAAGATACCAAATCAAAAGACTTCAATGTTCGGGGTTTACTCCAATCAAAGTCTCATAATACTTGTCTGTAATTGAAAGTTAACTTATGTGTTATGGAATATGTCGTTTTGAATGGATGTGTTCTGCCCTCCACCCTGAGGGGGGTAGGTGGTGTCAAATTGGTACCAGAAGTACACGGCCATCCGTGTAGTTTCCCAACTGCTAAGTTATAGGCGGATCTTGAATTGAAGATAGGCCATTGACACTGCACATTGTTTATGCCCTTCTTCCCCTTCAGAGTTTCTTTTTCTTTTTCTTTTGCTTTGTGGGTCACACCTGGAGATGCACAGGGGTTACTCCTGGATCGTGCACTCAGGAATTACTCCTGGCAGTGCTCGGGGGAGCATATGGGATGCTGGGAATCAAAGCCGGGTTGGCTGCATGCAAGGCAAAAGCCCTATCCACTGTGCTATTGCTCCAGCCCCCAGAATTTCTTGATAAGGAACTAAGTGAGCAAAGAGTGTGTCCAAAATAGGAAAATACCAACAACAACCACCAAAAAAAAAAAAAACCAAGTTAAAAATAAAGACACTTACCTCCATGTCTTCTTTGACTTGTTCCTGTTGGTCTCGTAATTCTCCAAAAGCATCAATAATTAAACCTAGGGTGAAACATAAAGATAACATTTCACCCTTAGCAAACTGAGAATAGTTGTTAAATTCATAGCCTCTTAGCTATTCATTCTAAAAAGAGGATAAACCAATGTCTAAGTTAAGAGATGTTCCAAACATAGTAAAAGTTTAAAAGTTGTGAGCCCACACTTAATACTCCCACTAAGGGAAGTGGTATTGTTTCTTGGGGGTAGAAATATGTGTAGTTCCTGGAACAGGAGAGACAATACAGGACGTAAGATGCCTGCCTTTGTTTGTTCATTTTTTGGGGACCAAAGTCAGCAGTTCTCAGAACATAGTTCTGTCTCTGTGCCCAGGGATCACTCCTGACCGAGCTTGGCGGATCGTATGTAGTGCAGGGGATCAGAGCTAGGTCGGCCCCATGCAAGGCAAGCACATTATGCACTGTATTTGTCTTAGACTCTGCATTCAAGTTACTTGCCTTGAATGCACAGAGCCTGAGTTCCTTAGTTGTGACTCAAGTTCTGCTCACCAGTGTCCCTTCAAAAACAAACAACAGCAATAAAAATACATGCACTTCCTGGGGTTAGTAATCCCTAAAAAGGATTTTCAAATAAAGTCACAGAGCAGGAACAACCTTCAGCTAACTTGACAGATGTAGATGGTGTGTTACTACCTACTTCATGCTAAGAAAGAACCCTGGAAATTGATGATTATCTGATACCAAAAACTCCACTAATACTTTCAAAAACTAACTTGGAGGAAAAAAAATCATCATACTAACTGTGAGAAACTTACCTCAGACTGTAACTTAACTAGTTCCTAGTAAGTCTATTTTGCCTATAGTTATCGAATGTGTCCATCAAAAAATTCAATAGCCACACTGTCTCCTTTGGTTTCAGTCCCTTTTCTCTCCTGTGATTTGCTGGCTGCAGTTTCTTCCAAGTGTTTGATGACTCTGCCCTCTTATGAAATACATGTCTCTTACACTGAATAAAGATATAAACAATGAGCCAGCAATCCTTTAAATGTGTTCATGTACTTTGATTTTTTTCTTTATAAAGTAGCATTTTATGCCTGTGTAACTTAGAGGACGTTATTACATTTAAAGACATTTGTTTCAAGGTTGGAAACAAGTAGAAGTTAATTAAAAATACCATGAGTCATTTTCATATACAATTTTCACTATATTTTTCATTTGATAGACTCAAAGGGGTTAAAAGGCTTACCAATCCAACCTTGCATAAGTGGCAAGGACTAGAAATCAAACCTAAGAAAAAGTTTTCTTTCCATTAAGTCATTTAAAGGAAGGTCAGTGGGGCCAGAGCAATAGTAGAGCTATAGAGCATTGCCTTGCAGGTATCAAGCCAAGGTTCAATCTTCAGAACTTTATATGGTCTCCTGGGCCCCTCTAGGAGTGATCACTGGTGATCACTGAGCACAGAACATCACCTGGTGATCCCTTAAACATGTCCATCACCAGGTGTGACCCCATAACAAAAATATAAAATCCAAGGCCAAAGAGAACTAATCTTCCCTTACATATGTTTTCCTTTCTGTAGTTTTCAAATGAGAATGTACTGTGAAAAAATGTTCTGTCCTGCTGTTCCAGAAATTACTTGGCATTCATTAATGTTAGGGTTAACAATTGCACGTGGTTCAAATTCATGCTTTTCTTGAGCTTTAGTGAGGGTGATTCTTACCTTGTATTATGGCCAAAAGAATGACAATTACAAAGAAGAAGAAGGTGATGTCAAAGATGATTCTATAAATCTCATACTCATCACCAGCTGGGTCTTCAATTTCATCACCAATACCTCCTCCAGCACGTACTCCAACATACATGTGGAACATATAACACTAGAGGAGAGAGAAATAGGATCACTTCCTGGAGGAACATGGCCTATGCCCACATTTAACAAACCCAGATCTCATTCCAGCTCCTTTATTTAGGAAATGGTGAGAATCTTTACATTCCACATTGCCCTTCTTTTGTTTTAATATTTGTAATTGTGATACAAACACTTGGCTTTTTTACTTAACTATCTTTTAAACAAAACTGCTTAGCATCTTCCGTTATACTGTGCAGAAAATAAGGAATATCTTGCTAGCATCTGGCCTAAGGTAATTATATTAAGATTATATTAAAGTTCACAAAACTATGCTTAATTTCATTGGTCAATGTTTTTTACAGAATAATCACAAGGTAGGTGAAGTAAAAGCCCAATAGATAAAAACATGAAATCTTAGAAATTAAGCTAACTGGGTGGAGCAATAGTACAGCAATAGTACAGCAGGTAGGACACCTGTCCTGCACACAACAGACCCAGGTTCAATTCCTGGCATTACCACTGTTCCTCTAAGCACTGCTAGGAGTAATTCCTGAGTGCAGAGCCAGGAGTAGCCCCTGAGCATCACTGGGTGTGGCACAAAAACCAAAAACACAAAACAAAACAGAAATTAAGCTAGAAAAAGACTTAACACTCTCCTTCCCTTCATAGTTGGCAAAATTAAAAACAACAACAACAACAACCAGAAATTAAGCTAGGAAAAAAAAGACTTAATAACTATATAAGGAAGATGATATCTTAGTCCCCTCCACCCCACTGCCATGATGGGAAAAGGAGCTCAAGTGAGAGTTCATGCCTAGCACATGTGAAGTCCCGAGTTTGATCCCCAGCACTGTAAGGATCAAACTCAGGGTATAAGGGCATGGTTCAGGTAATGTTTAAACCCTAAGTCACCCCAGTGCTACTGGGTATGGCCTGTATAAAAATTTTTTTCTATTTTAATATTTAAAATAAATAAGAAAGGCAGAGGAGGGGGCAAGAACATAGCAGTTCTTCTCTGGAACCCTGAAACTTGCAATCAACAATAAACACAGCTGCAAGTGGCCACTGAAGAAAAGGAGGTTTCAGAGATGATCTATCTGGGCACTTCTAAAGCCCAGAAGCACTCACCAGCACTGACACTTGGGACTGGATAATTCCGAGATGGGGGCTCATCCTTTGCATTGTGGGATACTTTAGAATAATCTCCCCACTTCTATCAACTAGTGTTAATAGCACATCACTGGACAGATTATCAAAGTGTCTCCACATCACCAAATGTCCTCTAGTGAGATAAATCATTACTAGTTGAAAGTCACAGCATAGACATCAGTTTCATCTTTATTTGACACAAGTCCATACATCCACCTCAGATTCTCTAATGTAGCCAAATTTCACCTCTCTAAGTAGATGGGTCAGTGCTTCCAAAAATATTCTTCACTCTATCTATGACTCCTCCAAATAAATGATTCCTCCTTCCAGATCTTTGCTGATACATTCTTCTTCTTTCATAATATTCTCTCTTACCATGATCCATTTATCATCACTATCCAATTCCTATAGAAGATAAAGAATAAATCTTCCTCCACGGGGCTTCTTTAAACTGGTCCAGACATGTTGATGGAGTCTGTGGATTCACCCATCAGTCAGGTCTCATCTATTTGCTGTCTGCCATTATTTTGGAGGCAAAGCCCTTTGTTTTTTGCATTTTTGTTTTTTCACTGCTCATCACTCTAATCCCCTAGTTCTCTTCTACTACAGTTTTTTGGCCATTTACTCTCAGCCTCCTTGTTCAGTTTTCCCTTGTCTCTCTAGTTTTTCATGAACTAATGCCCTGGAACTAGGCTCTTTGCCTTTTTTTTTTTGGTTGTTGTTATCTTAGTTCCCTCCCCTGGAGAGCTTTCCTGCTTTCACAAGTAATTATCTTCTTTGTGTGAATTATTTAAAATAATTTTTCCATTTACACTTTAGGGCTCTTTGCTGAATTCTGGACTTGAAACTTCAATTTACTTCTATTGGATTTTGAAAAAGTATTCAATTTCACTCCAGCAGAATTAGCTCTATTGTAAAAAGCTAAATTACTGTTTTATAATCTGTGTTTAAGATACTGTCCAGCTCATGACATGTTCATAAAAGTTCCTCAAGGGATGAAAGAAGAATGAAAAGTTAAGACTGGCCAATGTGACATTTGGTGAGCATGAGTGTAAGCAACAACCACAATTGTGTGTCTCAGCTAAGAATGCGACCCATGACCCTGGCCATCATGTGTCTCAGCACTACAACTGAAGAAAAAGAAAAGAGAAAAATCTCAGGATAGTTGAGTGGGTGAGCACCACAGACAAGGCATATGAGCAACAGCATCAATGCCTACAGCAAAACTAAGGGAAGGAGGAAGAGAAAGGAAAAAAGGAAGAAGAGAAATGAAGTTTGTCATCATGGCACACAGTGAACAGAACATCACGAGGCAGCTCTGCTATGGTCTACCTCAGAGTTGACTGTCTATCTCCCTGTTGAGCTCTCACAGAAGGGGCAGGAAAGTCCTTTTTTACTGTTTGACTAGACTAGGGCTTCTGGAAACTTCAACATTCTCTCTTCTTGCTACTCCTTACTAAATCTGATAGTAAATAAATGAAGGTTATCACTTAAAAATGGTTTTAGGGTCTGATGCTATTTGGGAGATCATATACTGTGCCTAGGATTTCAACTGCTGTTGGCAGGATGCAAGGCAAATGCCTTAGGTCCTATACTATTTCTCCTGGCCCTTTGGAGTAGTTCTAAGTTCTGCTGTGATAACCACAGGCCCCAGGGACAAGAAAGTTTAGCAGGTTATTTGACTTGCCCACAGTTGACCTGGGTTTGATTCCCAACACTATATCTGGTCCTTCAACCACCACCAGGAATGATCCCAAGAGAACAGAGCCAGGAGAAAGCCCTGAGCAAGCCAGGTGTGCCTCCCCAAATATAAATGGAAAACTGTAGCACTGCACTGTAGCACTGTCCTTCCATTGTTCATCAATTTGCTCCAGCAGGCACCAGTAACATCTCCATTGTGAAACTTGCTGTTACTGTTTTTGGCATATCAAATACACCATGGGGAGCTTGCCAGGCTCTACCGTGTGGGTGGGATACTCTCGGTAGCTTGCTGGCCTCTCCGAGAGGGACAGAGGAATCGAACCCGGGTAGGCTGTGTGTGAGGCAAATACCCTACCAGCTATGTTATCACTCCAGCCAAACAACAAACAAAGACACAAAAAACACAGTACCTGAACAGTGCAAGGTATGTGATCTCTACCTCTAAGTCCTATGCCCCTGTTAGATCTAAGATTCCTGATGAAGGGATTCCACCATATCTCAATCACAGATTAATGGTGATGCTGCAATGATTGGTAGACTTCTGTGGACATAATACTTTATTCTCAACAGCATTACCAAATTTCAAATTAATAAATGCATAGTTCACTTGCAGGATTTTATTTTACTGTAATTACTGAAACAAGATAGATTTTTACTGAATGAAACTGACTTAGAAAGATAAGAGAGGGAGGGAGATGGAAAAGAAAGGAATACATGTTCAATAGAGAACCCAAATTTGAAAAAGCAAGCAAGCAAGCAAAGATATAGAGACAAATAAGAAATCAAGGGAGATCTGGGGCTTACAGTGCAAGCTCATCAGCAGGATTTTAATACTTGATTTCGGTTTTATCCTTCACTATCCGGTTAGCTCCAGAAATAAGACAGAGCTGCTATAGTGGAATATGAGGTGGTAAGTACCTACTAATGTGGGGTTGTAAAGTTTTCAGCTATCAAATTATTGTTCTGCTCCTGAATATGTAAATCTTTTCATCTGCCTCCCCTTTTACAGAATCAGATTAAACCCAATAATGAGAGTCAAAGAATGCAAAAAAGTAATTATCAGAAACAAAAGGCCATATTTTGTTCAGAGAATCTGAAAATTGAAGAAAGAAGTATTGCAAACATTGCCAGGTTCTACAAATATTGGGAAAATGTTGATTCTGGAGATTTAGTATTTCATGGGTTCCTCCCATACAGTTATTAAACTGATGTATTCTTGGTTTATGTTGCCTTTGGAAGGCTCAGTTTCTGGTAAACTATGAAGAGCTTAATGTTGGGGGGAGAAAGGAGGGTTCAGGGAGGAAGGAAGGAAGGAAGGAAGGAAGGGAGTGAGGGAGGAAGAGAGGGAGGGAGAGAGGAAGAGAGGAAGGGAGGGAGGGAGGGAGGAATGATGTCTATGGGTCTTGGTCCATGGTTCCCAAGTTCTTCAATATTTTCAAGAATGAAAATATTGGATTAAAAAAATGCTCAGACTCAAAGTTAGAAAGTAGCACTGTAGTACTGTTCTCGAGCGGTTCCAGTAACGTCTCCATTAAGAGACTTGTTGTTATTGTGTTTGGCATATCAAGTATGCCACAGGGAGCTTGCCAGGCTCTGCCGTGCAGGTGGAATACTCTCTGTAGCTTGCTGGGTTATCTGAGAGGAGCAGAGGAATCGAACCTGAACCGGCCGCGTGCAAGGCAAACACCCTACCACTGTGCTATCGCTCCAGCGATAAAAAAGTTTATTGGAAAGTTTATAAAAAAAATGTTTATTGAAAAATTGAAGAGAAAGTAAAAGGAACACATAAAGCAGTTAGGAACTTAGTACTAAGTTAATAATGGCTCCTTTGGGGGAGGAGGGTATAGAAAAGGGTCTTTGCATTATAAAGAAGACTGGTAAATTAAAGATAAGAGGATTGTGTGTGTGGTGGGGGGGATGTTTTTTAAATGGAAATTGGGCTCTTGGTGAAACCGGAGCTCTTTGCATTTTATTATAGATAATTATGTTAATCAGCGAGTGCAAGGATCAAACAGATGCTTATCTGACCATCAGCCTTAGGTACTGCCCATTAACTTAGCCTCCCAGTGAGCCTAAACATTGGGGCAGAATTTTATGTTGAATCATTATTAACTGTCAGAAAGAGCCCAGGGATTTGCAGAAAGTCAAAAATGTAGGATGTGGGCAGTCAAAAAAGCA